TTTGTATGAGGTCCTCAGCAGAACACAAAGTGTGCTGACAGCCAAGTGGGACATCCAGTCCCCACAACCATGAGAGCAAACCGACTAAGATTGAAACTAGTGAGAATGCAATTGTGAAAGATGCAAATTCAGAGGTGGAAAGGGAAAGCAAACCCCGCCTTGTCTGGATTTCAAGAACTTTACACTACAGTTATGTATTGAATTGCAAAGGAAGGAAAAGTAGTCTTCTGACTTTCTAGAAATTATACTGAGACTTATTAAAAGGGAAGGAACCTAACACAGAAAATACAGAAATTCCTTAAAATTACAAACTGACTAGAGATCTAATTAATTCTATTGCTCCAAATACACTAAATACAGTCATTAGAAAACACTGAAGGTGGATACGTATCAGAGTGCCTGGGTTCAAGTCTCAGCTCCATTTACCACTCCAGTTCACCGTTGATGCACACGTAGGAGTGGTGGTAATGGCTCATGAAGTGGGTCCCTACCACCTTCATAAGAAACCCATATTCATGGGCTCGGCGCAGTGGCGCAGTGGTTAAGGTCCTCGCCTTGCACGCCCGGGATCCCATATGGGTACCAGTTCTATCCTGGCAGCCCCGCTTCCCATCCAGCTCCCTGCCTGTGGCCCGGGAAAGCAGTCAAGGACAGCCCAAAGCTTTGGGACCCTGCACCCATGTGGGAGACCCGGAAGAGACTCCTGGCTTTGGATCGGCATAGTATCGGCCGTTGTGCTCACTTGGGCAGTGAATCATTGGACGGAAGATCTTCCTCTCTGTCTCTCCTCTCTGTATATCCGCCTTTCCAATAAAAAATAATAAAAATAAATCTTTAAAAAAAAAGAAACCCAGATTCAGTTCCAAGCTCCTCCTGTCTTTGACCTGGAGCAGTCCTGACACACACATCTGGGCAGTGAACCAGGAAACAAAGTTCTGTTTCTGTCTGGGTTTCTCTCTCTCTCTCTGCCTTTCAGATAGGAAATAATAAAAACAAAGTATCAGTCTGGGTATAATGTTATAAACTTTTGAGTTAAAAGAAATATAACATTTGACTGTTTCCTGTATTTCCCAACAAAGTTTACACTGACTTTATCTAATGCAATATTACAACTGTATATTAATCTATCATAAAATTACCAATCACAAACTTCTTTCCCAAAATTATTTCAAATAATTTAAAAAATCTTTTAAATCTAAATGACCTAAATCTGCAGAAAATTCTTTTTCAAACAGCTCATTACTCAAAGCTTAGCCTGTGTTTTCACATTCAAAATTTGTACATGGTGGGCACTGTTGCACAGTCCATTAAGAAGCCACACAGGATGCTCACATCCTGTAACAGCACATAGGGCTGAGTCCCAGCTCTCATTTGTGATCCAGCTTCCCGATGACATGCTTAGGAGGTGGTAAGTGATAGCTCAAGTACAATTTCTGCCATTCATGTGGCAAACAGATTGAGTTCCTGGCTCCTCACTCACCCGTGTAGCCTGGCCCTGACTACTGTGGCATGCATGAAGCATACCAGCAGAACATGGATCAAGGGGAACCTCTCTTTCTCTGCTTCTGCCACTATCTTTCAAATAAATAAATCTTTTTAAAATACTGTGGGCCTGGCACAGTAACCTAGCAGCTAAAGTCCTCATCTTGCACGCACTGGGATCCCATATAGGCATTGATTCCCGGTGGCCCTGCTTTCTATCAAGTTTCCTGCTTGTGGCCTGGAAAAACAGAGAGGACAGCCCAAGGCGCTGGGACGCTGAGCCCATGTGGGAGACCCGGAAGAGGCTCTTGGCTCCTGGTTTTGGATCTGTACAGCTCCAGCCACTGCAGATGCTTGGGGAGTGAATCATCAGACAGAGGATCTTGCTCTCTGCCTCTCTCTATACATGACTTTCCAATAAAAATAAACCTTTAAAAAGTAAACAAACACTGTGCAAAATGAAGTTTATAAAGGGCACAGTAAGGTAATACACTCCCTTCTATGAAGCACATTGAAATCTAAGGAAAGGTTCTAGTGTTGTGACGTAATGGAAAAATCCCCGCCAGCAACATCAGCATCCCATATGGGTGCCAGTGTGTGTCCTGGCTGCTCAATTTCTGCTCCAGCTCCCTGGTAACAACCAGGGACAGTAGCAGAAGATACAACTGCTTGGAACCCTCACCCCTGTGGGGAGAAGCAGAGGAAGCTCCTGGCTCCTTACTTTGGAATGGCCCTGCTCTAGCCACTGAAGCCATTTGGGGAACAAACCTGTGGGTGAAACTCTCTCTCTCCCTCACTTTGTCTCTCCCTCTGTAACTCTACCTTTTATATATATATTTGGAAAAGCAGATAAACATAGAGAAGGAGAGACAGAAAGATCTTCCATCCACTGGCTCACTTCCCATAGAGACTGCACATAAGACTTCAAACTCAGGGCCTAGCCCAGTAGTCTAGTGGCTAATGTTCTCCCTTTCCATGCTCCAGGATCCTATATGGGCACCACTTCGTATCCCAGCTGCTCCACTTCCCTTCTAACTCTGTGCTTGTGGACTGGGAAAGCAGCTGAGGACAGCCCAAGTCCTTGGGACCGTCTATACCCATGTGGGAGACCCAGAAGAAGCTCCTGACCCTAGCTTCAGATCAGCTCAGCTCTGGCCATTGTGGCCACTTAGGGACTAAATCAGTGGATGAAAGATCTCTGTCTCTCTGCAAATCTTTCCAATAAAAATAAACAAATCTTTAAAAAAGAGAGCAAGCGAGCGAGCTGGCTAAAGTCCTAGTCTTGCAATGGCAGGGATCCCATATGGGTGCAGGTTCCTGTCCAGGCTGTTCCACTTCCATCCAGCTCTATGCTTGTGGCTTGGGAAAGTAGTGGAGGATGGCCCAAAGCCTTGGAACCCTGTATCCGCATGAGAGACATGGAAGAAACTCCTCGCTTCTGGCTCCTGGCTTCTCATCGGTTCAGCTCCAGCTGTTGCACCAAGCTGAGGATCTTTCGTTTTGCCCCTGTCTCTGTGTAAATCTGCCTTTCTAAAAAAAATAAAAACATCTTTAAAAAAATTTTTTTGAAAAAAAATTCAAAATCAATGGTCAGCATGGAAGACCTAATGAATATTTCTTGTGTACAATTTCACATTTTACTTTTACACTAAAGAAAAAAAATCAAATCTATCCATTTAAAATACTAAATAAGGAATTTAACAGAATGGTGGATGGTCAAATCCTGACCTAAAAAACTACAATTCTGCATCCTTATGAGGAATATAGCCTCAAAAAAACTATGATCTACCATCACAGCTAAATGATTTAAAGCCAAAAGAGCCAGAAATCAGCACAGAGGTTGCCTGGTATTTTCAGGAGAGGCAAACAATCTTAACATTGGGCAAGTGAGAATTGGCTTCACAGCTCTATCTATTTCGCAAAATACAAACATAAGATCTCCCCATTTTACTGTGTAAATTTTACCTCACAAAACAAGAGAGGCCAGTGTTGTGGCAGGGTAAGGCTATGCCTGCAATGCCAGCATCCCATGAATGCTGCACAGAGTCCCAGCTGTACCATGGTTCCTGTGCTGGGCCCCTCCATCCATGTTGGAGACCCAGATGAAGCTCGAGGCTCCTGCCTTTGCCCTGGACCAACCCTGGACACTGCAACCATTCAGGGAGTGAATAAGTGGATGCTGTAATTCTTTCAAATAAATGAACAAAAACAAAACAAATGGAGAGGCCTATAAAAGCTGGCTTTTTAAATTCAAGAGCTATGCAGGCTTTAGTTACAAAGATTACCAGTGAAAATCTCCTCCAACTTACTCATTTCCCCTCAAACTTCTCAGAGTTAACCACTGTTAAGTTTTATTTAGCTTCCAGACTTTTTTTAAATGCAAAATTTACAAATGTATATCTGCATCTTTTCATTGCAAAAGAAATGTAAATAATTCAGTTTTGGCACCTGACAGCAAATCACGAAATCATAATATATCTTCCTAGCACACATAATCCTCTCACTTTAATGATTAGAAAATATTTCACTTACAGTAAATAACCTACTAAACTGGTTCTCTACTGTTTACTAAATTAGAGCATCAGAAGAATGACACGTTTATGGCAACTCTCACTTTCAAAAACCTTATATCATTGTTAGGGGTTTTAAAATGTCCCATAGCAATAAACTCCCATTATTAAAATGAAGGTCTATTTTTCTACTTTCAAACACATATGTTCCAAATGCATAAATGAATAGAATAATGCCTGGCATGCAGTAATTTAACATAATTCTTGAATTACAAGTAAAATTTTGCAAACACATCAGCTACAAAAGTAGGAAACAAACTGCTTATAAAGTCTGTTTATTGCATCTCAAAGTTTAATTTTAGATTTCTTACAATAGCCCAGAACTAAGAAATGAAATTAAACTTCTCAGAAGTTAAAAAAAACAACAGGCATCACTATGCGACACTGTACTGCACTAACTGGACCTAAAATGCATTTTTCTCCAGATCCTTGAGCTTACTTGTCTTCTTTTGTAATATATTGTATGCCAAAGGATGAAGGCAGAATTTAAAACTTATTTATCTACAAAAAATATAAAAAGTTGCTATCAAGGACTTAGAATAATAATCCTACAGTAAAAAAGATGCTGTGGCAAATACCTAAAAGAACCTTGAGGGTGGGCCCAGCATGGTAGCCTAGTGGCAGAAGTCCTTGCTTTGTATGCGCCAGATTCCCATTTAGGCACTGTTTCGTATACCAGCTGTTCCACTTCCCTTCCAGCTCCCTGTTTGTGGCCTGGGAAAGCAGTTGAGGACGGCCCAAAGCCTTGGGATTCTACACCCATGTGGGAGACCCAGAAGATGCTCCTGGCTCCTGGCTTTGGATCAGTTCAGTTCCAGCCATTTTGGTCACTTGTGGAGTGAATCACCAGATGGAAGATCTTTCTGTCTCTTTTTCGTAATAAATCTTCCTTTCCAACAAAAATAAATCTTAAAAAAACAAAACCTTGAAAACAAAATGATTACAAACCTAGGTCCAATAACAGGAATAAGTAAGATATCTTGAAGTTCTGGGTGTTGAAAGACAGGAAGTGTTAATCCATTAAATTGCTGTTAAAATAAACACATACAGAGAGGGTGGGAAAAGGGGAGAGAAGAGAATAACATTATATTCTTGTAATTTCATCCATGAACTACATTGAGTCTATTATTTTTGCACTATTATCATATTAACATGAAAAAGTATCAGATGGTTAGAAGATAAACATATACAATTATAAAGTAATTAATATATTTTATACAGTTCTACTTAAGGAGCTTACCAGCATTATCTACCAGACCATGAATCTTGCTTTGAGACACTTTATTTCATAGACCGGTATTAAAAATTCAAAGATTTTAAAGCAATGTTTTCTATATAATTTAACTGTAATCTCTCTAGACTTCTTCATAAAACTTATATTTTGCTTGATGTGTTGCTTTGGAAACACAAAATCATGTTTATCTTAAGTGACTTTAAAACAAATCCTGGGTCCGGTGCGGTGGCCTAGTGGCCGGGATCCCATATGGGCACCGGTTCTAATCCCAGCAGCACCGCTTCCCATCCAGCTCCCTGCTTGTGGCCTGGGAAAGCAGAGGAGGACAGCCCAAAGCCTTGGGAGCCTGCACCCGCGTGGGAGACCCGGAAGAGCTCCTGGTTTCAGATCGTCACAATGCCGGCTGTTGCAGTCACTTGGGGAGTGAATCATCGGACAGAGGATATTTCTCTTTCTTTCTCTCTGTATTTATCTGACTTTGCAATAAAAACAAATAAATCTTAAAAAAATATATATATCCAACACAGATTTACATGTAGTCAGTCAAGCAAAGTCCAGCACAGTACTTTAAAGATTAAGATGATTAAATATTACTTAGTACAGACTGCAAACAGCTGCAGACACGGTACTATAAGTTGCTGGAACCAGCTCTCAAAGGCTCAAGACGGCCACTCAGAGCCTCTTCCCAATTCCATGGCCATGCTAACAGTGTGAAACTGACGCATTTGCAACACTGAAACCATCAAACATGGTGAGCTATCTTTTCTGGAAGTGGATTGTAGATAGAAGTCATGCAGCTGCACAGTGCCTGCAGAATAGGGACTGCAAGACCTGGAGAACTGTGTCATACAGACTACAATTTATCAACTCACTAATTTTCACACACTACATCAAAAAACAGTAATACATATTTGCCCTATAGTATCTATACATAACCTAATAAAAAAAAAAAAACCTCCCCACATCAACTTCCTCACTTCTAAGTGGATTTTTAAAAATCAGAATTTAAAAATGTAGATTGCCACCAGGCGAACAGCTCTCTGGCCTTTTTTCCAGATCCTATTTCAAACTAAACATCCAACAGCTAGCCAACAAGAAACCTGCAAGACTTCAAGTCAGTTAAAGCTCTGCCACTATCTTTTCTTCCCTCCTTGTTCCAGTTGCCCTAAGTATTACCAATACTACAGTTCTCCAACACGAACAAAGATAATGAATTTTGTCATTTTATTAAGTTCTACTTACTTTACCCTGTAGAAATACTGTGTACAGAAAACAACCCTTCTCAACCCAAAGGTTTTCTTCTTTTCTATTTTCAGTATGTTAAGGAGATGTAGAAATAAAACTTGGGAAAAATGCACATATGCCTAACTTCCACATCATTTTAAACTAAGCATATCATCTGCTTCTTTTTGTGTCTGCCTATGCTCCTCCCACCCCTCTTTTTGAAACAGGTTTTTATTTATTTTTAGTGGAAAGTCAGACACACAAACAGGAGGAGAGACAGAGGAAGATCTTCCATCCACTGATTCACCCCCCAAGGGGCTGCAATGGCCAGAGCTGATCCAAAGTCACAAGCCAGAAGTCTCTTTCCAGATCTCCCATGTTGGGTTCAAGGGCCCAAGCTTTAGGGCCATCCTCCATCATTCTTCCATGCTACAGCAGAGAGCTGTATGGGAAATGGAACAGCCACAACACAAACCCGTACCCGCACGGAATGCGGGCAAATGAAAGTAGAGAATTAGCCAACTGAGCCATGGAGCTAGCCTCTGCCTATACCTTTTAAAAACAGTCTACTGGGCCAACACTGGCATTTCAAGTGAAGCTGCCACCTGCCACAATGGAATATGTTATGATATCAGACTGAGTCCCAGCTGCTCCCTTCAATCCAGCCGTCTGCTAATGGCTTGGAGAGTGCAGTGCAAGATGGTCCAAGTGTGTTGTCCCCTGCCACTCACGTTATAGACCGGGAAGAAGCTCCTGGTTCCTGGCTTCAGTCTGGCCTAGGTCCAACAATTGCAGCCAAGGAGTAAACCAAAGGATGAAAAATTTCTCTGCTCTTTCTTCTCCCTTATAAATAAGCCAACAGGGCCCGGCACGGTGGCATAGTAGTTAAAATCCTCGCCTTGAAAATGCCGGGATCCTATATGGGCACCGCTTTTAACCCCAGCTGCTCCACTTCCCTTCCAGCTCCCTGCCTGTGGCCTGGGAAAGCAGTCAAGGACAGCCCAAAGTTTTGGGACCCTGCACCCACCTGAGAGACTCGGAAGAGCCCCTGGCTCCTGGTTTCGGCTTGGAGAGTGAACCACGGGATGGAAGATCTTCCTCTCTGTCTCTCTTCCTCTCTATATACGTGACTTTGCAATAAAAATAAAACTTTAAAATTAATAAACCAATAAATCAATCTTAACATCTCCCCCCCAAGATAAAACTTGTTATATTACAACTTAAAATTCACCCTTATTAAGTTCACAATTCAATGATATTTGACACACTTAAAGAATTCTACAAGACAAATGCATTTCCATAAACCTTCTGCAGCTCCCTCCTATGCATGGATTTTGACATTTTTGCATCAAAATAAATTATACCTTTTAAATAAATAAATGTAAAGAATTGTCCAGCTATCACAACCATTCAGTTTTAGATAATGTCCATTATCCCCAAAGACCTGTCAAATGTTCATTTGTAGTCAACCCTGCTCCCATTCCAGGAAACCACTTATTCTTTCTCTATAAACTTATTCCCTCTGGACATTTCAAGCAGAAAAATGAAATACATTATGTCAGCCTTCACTTGCTTTTTAATTCTAGTTTATCTTAACAGGAAAGCTGTTTTTTTTTTTTTCAGGGAGGGGGGACACAGAAGGAGGAGGGAAATCTTCCTTCCACCTAATGATTAACTCCTTGAAATACAGTAAAACAGGGAAAAGTGCAGTGGCTCAGCATGCTAATCCTCCACCTTGCAGCACCAGTATCCCATGCGGGTGCCAGTTCATGTCCTCACAACTCTACTTCCTATGCAGCAATGCTTATGACCTGAGAAAGCAGTGGAAGATGGCTCGTGTACTTGGGCTCCTACACCCAGGTGGGAGACCCAGAAGCAGCTCCAGGCTCCAGGTTGCAGATCAGCTCACCTCTTGCTGGTGCATCCATAGGGGGATTGGACCAGCAAACGGAAGATCTGTCTCACCTCCCTGTAAACCTGGCTTTCAAATAAAAATAAATCTGGGCCCAGCATGGTAGCCTAGTGGCTAGGTTCCTCACCTTGCATGCACCAGGATCCAAACACTGGAACCAGTTCATATCCCGGCAGCCCCATTTCCCATCCAGCTCCCTCCTTGTGGCCTGAGAAAGCAGTCGAGATCAGCCCAAGGCCTTGGGACCCTGCACCCGCGTGGGAGATCCAGAGGAGGCTCCTGGCTTTGGATCAACACAGCCAGCCACTGTGGCCACTTGGGGAGTGAACCAGCAGAGCGAAAATTTTCCTGTCTCTCCTCCTCTCTGTATATCTGACTTTCCAATACAAATAAACACATCTTTAAAAATAAATTTAAAAATTAAAAAAAAAAGGAATGCAGTAAGAACCAGGAACTCCATCCATGTGTGTGGCAAGGAGTGGAATGAGTGCAAGAACTTAGGCCATCTTTTACTACATCCCCAAGAGCGTCAGCAGGAAGCTGGACTGGAAGCAGACTAGCTGGGATTCAAACCTGCTTTCATGTACAGGATACTAATGCCACAAGCCGTACCTTAAACCTGTTGCACTACAAAACTGGCACTTTCATTTCTGATGTTAATTCAGGTTGACACAGCTTCTACCTGCAAGAGACTGCTCACCATCTGCTTCACTCACTCCAAATGCCCATGTCAGTCCTGGCCATGCCAAAGCCAGGAGTCTGACATCGAAGGCTTCAAGGACCCAAGTCCTTGGACTTTCACCACTGCCTCCCAGAGTGCCCACCAGCAGGAAATGGGCTGGCAGCAGAGGACCCAGGACCTGAACTGGTCATTCGGATATGGGGCACAGGTATCCCAAGCAACAATCATAGCAGCTAGCTACACAACCTAACCCCTCCCCATCAAACGTATTTTAACGAAACTGACACCATGGGGAATTAGCAACCTACCCTAAAAAATAATTAACTCAGAATCAGACCTGCTAGATTCAAGTCTAATATTTCTGAATTTCTTCATTTGCAAAACTGGAACACTGTATCACTGATAGGGTTTTCACAGGAAGTGATAAAACAGATTGCAGAGACACAATTTTATATCTCTATAAGAACTCTTAAAAAAAGGTGTACAAACCTTCTGAAGTTCATCAAGCAACAGATTTTTCACATGTTGTACTGAGGCTAAATGTGTGTTCACTCTAACCGTTGTGAATGATGGAGGGTGTGACAAGCGATACAAAAGCACTTCAAACTTCCTTTCAGCTTCTTGCTTGTCTGAGGTAGATAGAACCTGAAAACAACAAGTTAAGAACTGAAAATACTCAGCAGAGTATGCTCCCATCTCTCTTCTACAGCAATCTGCTCATGTGTTAGTAACACTAAGAGAATGGCAATACTTCCCAGGGTCCTTGGGTCTCACTGTGTTAACAAATACCTAACCAAGCCTGCCATCAAGAGCCTAGGAAAACACTGCCTCAACCTAACCTGTTACCACCACCAGTGTTGACTCACACCTGCTGTTCACTCTACTCTTGCATAAACTCTTGGGGCACTTCCCTTCCACTGGCTACTTGCTAACATCACATCCTAGAGCCAACTGGCTGGTGGCCTTTTAAAGTATCAGCGAGGAACAGGTAACTCTGAAACACTATTAAACAGATTCCCTGGAACATCAGCTTAATACGGTATTAAATGTAACAAAGTACAGAAAACAAAAGCAGGTAGCATGAACATCTGTCAGAAATGAAGATAAAAAGACTCCAAACCACCAGACTTCCCTGTGAGTAACCAAAGCTCAATGGCACACATTCCCCATGAGTGGGCATTTCCTAACCCTTCCTCTCAGAATCCACAAACTGCTGAACAGCCCCTGATCAGGCAGCCTTTATAAAGCATTTACTTTCTTTCCCAAAGTTCTATCAAAATTGAGTACTTCCCACCAACACTTTTCACAAGGGATGGTTTTTCTCTTCCATAACATACAGTAGGTTTGTTTAAGATAGGCGTCAACAAATGAAAATTTTCTAAAAGAAAGGCGGGAAGAGGTGTAACCAAACACTGCTACTTCTCTTTGTTCCCTTAAAAAGCAGATGTTTTCTTTCGGTTGACTAGTCTCTTAATATCTTTGGAAACAAATGCAGAAGCCGAATCAAAATATTAACTGGCTTTAGCTAAAAAAAAAAAAAAAAAAAAAAAAGGATTTGCAGGGGAAAGCTGCGTGGAGGCAACATGTGAAAGGGAACACAGCACCGGCCTTGTAATTAAATAAAAAACAATGAACCTTCACTTTGGATTTCTCGCCAAGCTTTGAGGACTTTAATCGCCAAAGTGGTTCTAACTGCTTTCCCTAAAACCGGTGTGAAGTGCTCCTAACCATTACCAGTTTCCCCAGGAGCTTCCCCAGGTGATGTAACTTCCTCTAAGCCCTGCAACGCCCATGGAAAGCTTGAGAGCCTCCACCTGCACCTTGGTACAACTGCAAGAAACAGGCTTGTAAGTCCAAGTTTTATGTTCTTCCAGCCTGTTCTGGTGTTCTGGCAAAAAGTTTTTAACTGACCTACCTCTTTATTCACAAAGCACTCTTTAAGGTAATTTTCAACCTCGGGTCGCAAAGATATTTTAGGGAAAACAGACATTTTCCTGGGTTGTTCAGTTCTCCTCCAAAAACATATAAATAAAAAAGCTTGTTTCTTCCGAGCTAGAGCACAGGGTCTGGACAAGGAGAAGGCCGGCAGCGAGGGCAGCGAGGGCAGCGAGGGGCAGCGAGGGCAGCGAGGGGCAGCGAGGCCGCCAGCGAGGGCAATACTCGGCACCGTCTACGCCACCTGGCCTGGGTCCTCCGGAAACTCTCACTGAAACAACTGGAAGGCGTTGCCACCGCATACGGAAACCATAAACGCTCGGGATCCGTAAAAAACCGACCGCGTAGGTACAAACACGCAACCACCTCTCCCGGCGCTCCCTTATATCCTAACTTCCGAACCCGCGCCCGCCAGCTCTGCGCGGGAGCAGCTTCCGTCGTGCGTCACTTCCGGGGCCCTCGAGTCCGCCCCCTTGCCGCCCACCCGTCCAATCCGCATCCAGCGGTGGCGACTGCGTCAGCGGCGGAAGGGCCCGGAGCCGGCCGGCTGCTCCCTCAGTTTCGGGGCGTCTCTCTGGGTGCGGGGCGCGGCGCTCCCTGGCTGGGCGCTGTCAAGTGTAGCTAACTCCTAGCTAGCAGAGTGGAAGGTAGAGAGCATGGCAGGGACCATTCCGGCCTGAGTCAGCAGAGGGCCCCAGTTAGTGACCTGCTGGGCAACCAGAGTTTATTTGGAGACATCAATCACCCTCTGATTTCATCAAAGTGCCCTTCTCAGGCATGCACATCTGACTTCAGTTGTAAATGAACAAATAAAGTTGTAATTTTGAATATTTTAATGTTGTGTAGATGTTAGTATCTATAAATACCCGAGTAAAAGAGGCATGGAGAATGTTTACGATTGGTTATAAGGCAAGTTGGTTTTGTTTGTTTGTTTTAATTTCTATTTGAAAGCCAGGGTTAAAGAAGGGAAAGACAGATCTCCCTTCTGTGGGTTCACTCCCCAGATGGCCACCAGAACCTGAGCTGAGCTGAGCTAAGCCAGGAGATTCTTCTGGGTCTCCTACACAGGCGGAAGGGCCCAAGAACTTCAGCCAACCTGCGGCGTTTTCCCCGGCCATCAGAACAGAGCTGAATTGAAGTTAGAGCAGCAGGGACTAGAACCCGGTGCCCATATGGGAGGCAGGCTATGCACTCAGGATTAATTCACTATGCCACTGTTGGCCCAAGTCAATATCTTCAAGCTTGGGAGACTCCTTAGCAGAATCATTTTTGTCACAAATGACATCTGTCATAATCTAATGAAGAGAAAGATTGAAAGGGAGAAGACACTAACCAAAATCACTGTGATTGAACGGAAGAGTAAAAAAATCAGTCCACTTACACAGTACAGTGTGATCAGCTATACATGAATGTATGCAAGGATCTTAAGTCTCTAACTTTCAGGTTGTTGGGTTTTTTTTTGTCAGTAAGCAAAGCAAAATTTACTAAAGATATTACAAACAGAAACCTTCTGCCACAACAGGAGGACTTTTTTTCAAGAGAAAAAGATCCTTTACAAAAGTCTTATAAAGGCTTTCTCTAAGGTCCTGAAGAATATATTGTACCAAGCACCCTATAGCGTGTGTGATTCCCTCTGTTTACAGATGAGGAACACAACAAGCTTTCTAGAATTTAAATGACTCTTCCTGGTCCCACAGACAATTGTGATAAAGAACAAAGAACTCTGTATTCTAACACCTATTCCGTGTGGCTCCATCACAGCCTATTTCTTCATACAGTTCGTGGGATTCTTTTGTGACTAAAATTTCTGAAATGGCTCTAGGCATTACCAAAATAAACTTGGTCACCTTGGCTTTGCTGTGACCCATAGCACCAATTTTAGCACCAATAATGTTTGAAACCTGTGTTCAAGAGATAAAGAGAGAAGGAACAAGCTGAGCTAGTTTGTAAACCAAATAAAGTAACAACTTATCTCACCACCTGTGTAGCATTACTTAACACAAATATTTACTGAATGAATAGATGAAAAAATTAGTTGAAAGTCAGAGTAGAGGGGGAAGGAAAGCAAGGTTTCCCATCTGCTGGTTCACTCCTCAAATGGCCACAGAGGCTGGAGCTGGACCGGTCTGAGGCAGGAGCCAGGAGTGTCTTCCTAAGCAAATGCAAGGCTAGCACTTGGGTCATCCACTGCTTTCCCAGCCATTAGCAGGGAGCTGGACAGAAGTGAAGCGGCCAGGATGCAACCTAATGTTTGTAAGAAACACGGTGCCACAGCTGGAGGCTTAAACTGCCATGCCATGGTGTCAGCCCTGGACGTGCCTCTCTGTGAACTAGGGAAAATGCTGATAGAGTCAATGTTGGCTGGTAATTGTTCATTAGTTAGCACACCTGGAAGGGATGTTTGGACCACTCTTTAAAGATTTATTTATTCGAAAGGCAGAGTTACAAAGAGGCAAATAAACAGATCTTCCATTCATTGATTCACTCCCCATGTCCAGGACTGGGTCACACCAAAGAAACGAGCTTGGAACCCCGTCTAAGTCTGCCTTCCCAGGCACGTTAGTAGAAAGCTGGATGGAAAGTAAAAGGGCCGGTGCTCAAATCCACTTTCATATGTGATATCAGCAATGCAGTGGCTTAGTCTGCTACAATAAATTGCTGATCTTTAGAATACAGACCATCATCTGGGTCTCCCAGCTGACTGGCAGAGCCCAAGTAACTGGGCATCTTCTGCTCTTTTTCACAGACCATTAGCAGAAGCTGCATCTGAAGTGGAACAGCAGGACACAAATCAGCATCCATGTGTAATGTTGGCATCCCAGGCAGTGGCTTCACCCATCCCTTAACCACACATTATTGAAATGACAGTTAAGGTGAAGAGGTCTCCTGATGATCTAAGTTGTTTCCAAGAAAAAGACATACATCTGAATTTGCTATGTCAAATCTGTATTCCCTAAACTAAGGAAGAAAAAAGACTGTGAGAGAGTTTGAGATGAATTCTGTGTAAACAAAGAGGACAGCTTTCTTGTAAGGTCAATTATGATGCTTAAATTGTAGTGGTTCACTTCTTTATCTTTTCCCTTTATGCTGACTCATCATATCCTTCTCCAGCTCTGAACTCTGCTGCAGCTGGCCTCCAGCACTGATCCTTGTAGCCGTTTGGGGAGTGAACCAGTGCATGGAAGATCTTTCTGTTTTTCCTTCTCTCTCTCTGTAACTTTGCCTTTCAAATGAAAATAAACAAATCTTAAACAAACAAAAAACAAAAACTGGGCCTGGTGGGGTAGCATAGCAGCTAAAGTCTTCACCTTGCTCATGCCTGGATCCCATATGGGCGTTGGTTCTAATCCTGGCAGCATCCAGCTCCCTGCTTGTGACCTGGGAAAGCAGTTGAGGGTGGCCCAAAGCCTTGGCACTCTGCACCCATGTGGGAAACCCAGAAGAGGCTCTGGGCTCCTGGGTTCATATCAGTGCAGCTCCAGCTGTTGCTGCCACTTGGGGAGTGAATTAACAAGCAGATCTTTCTATCTCTCCTCCTCTATGTATATCTGACTTTTCAACAAAAATAAATCATTAAAAAATCTACCTAAAAAATATTATTCCTTCATTTTTAATTCAATAGTGCTTGTGCAAAAACAGTAGTGAAAAGATACGTAGAAAGGCTCCTTTAAGGCATGATAATTTTTACAGATTGTAAAACATTTATTCAGGCAACTACTTCCTACCAAAACAAATTTAGTCTTCCCTTTTTACATTCTTTTATACTATCCTCTTATATTTCAATTATGCCTCTTCACACCTCTCAAAAATTTTATTTCGTGGCTTCTGGCCATCTCCACTGAAGGAAATTTAAAAGTCCCTTCTGAAAAACCTCAGTATTAAAATCCCAACTGTTTGTTCATGCCTCATTGCTACTGAGAAACTGTAGGAGCTTGCAGGCTAAATGGCCTACGTGACCTATGTGACCTTTAGCACTGATGGGTCCCAATTCTTATGTATCAAGACCCACCTAAATCTGGTTATCTCACAGGTGGCTCCAAGTAATTAAGTGGGCACTTCCCTTAGTTGCTGGAGGCAGGGGCTGTCCAGCTGAGATAGGAAGGGAATGTGTGCTATTTCCCCTCCCCTTGCAGACTACTGTGAATTTCCCCTGTTCAAGCTATTGTGGACTGCCCTTATAAAAACCCTATGAATGTTCTGTTTCTGCTCGGGGCCACACTCCCAGTAAGGGGTGTTAGGCCCGGCCAACCAGCAGCCTGCTTTCAACTAAGAACCCAGGCTTGGATGCGCTGAGCTTCAATAAACCATCCTTGTGCACTTGGGTCGACTTCAGACTCCTGGTGATTTCTGGGGACCACAAAATCTGGGCACAACTCTTCCTATTTCAATCCAGGGTTTTTTCCCTATCATTCTCTGTAAATCTGCTCTTCAATGAATATAAATAAATGTTTAAATATATATATATATATATATTTTTTTTTTTGGAAAGGCAGATACACAGCGAAGGAGATAATCTTTTGTCCACTGGGTCACTCCCCAAGTGGGATCCCGAGCGTGTAAGGTGAGGATGGCACCAGGCCTGATTTTTAAAAAAATTGAGAGGAGTATGTTTCTTTATTGTTTTATTTCTTTTCTTTCTCTTTCTTTTTTTTTTTCTTTTTCCTAGCATAAGGTTACTTGTTCTTAGCTGGCAAGACACACTGTCCCTTGGACTTTTGGTTCAAGCCAAGAGGAAATTGATCTTAGCTGAATAATAAGTTCAATTACAGTGGTATCCAGTTTTTTCAAGTATTATGTGAAGTTACTATATAATAGTGCCTTTGAAAAAATAATTGTTCTATTTTTAAAATTCCCCTAAGTTGTCAGCATTTTCCTATTTTGAAATTTTAGATTCTTCATTTTACAGTGACCACGGCCCTGTCAGTGTTTTGTTGAACTGAAGAGATTTTTCTGAAATTCAATTTTAATTAAAGGAAAATATTTCCAGTTACTTCTTAACAAACTGTTATAGTCTTAAAGACAGTATCACACTTCTTTTAAAAAAATTTAATTTTTAGGGCCCAGCGCGGTGGCGCAGTGGTTAAGGTCCTCGCCTTGCACGGCCGGGATCCCATATGGGCGCTGGTTCTATCCCGGCAGGCCCGCTTCCCTTCCAGCTCCCTGCCTGTGGCCTGGGAAAGCAGTCAAGGACGGCCCAAAGCCTTGGGACCCTGAACCTCTGTGGGATACCAGAAGAGCTCCTGGCTCCTGGCTTCGGATTGGCTCAGCTCCAGCCATTGCAGTCACTTGGGGAGTGAATCATTGGACGGAAGATCTTCCTCTCTGTTTCTCCTCCTCTTTATATATCTGCCTTTCTAATAGAAATCTTCAAGACAAACTGAATAATTTCAGTTCTGTGCTGCAAAAGGGACGAAAAAGAGCGGCTGGTCAAGCTGGAAAATCGCTGTTTCCGCCCTGTTTTTAGAGGTCAGGGACACAGCCGGCACACGCCAGGGGCGGTCAATCCAAGGACGCAGAGCCTGACCAGTGCGAACCCCCGTCCCAAGGACACCCCAAACTTCCCAACCTACCGCCCACCGGAAGTGAAGCCCGCGGAAACGCCACGTCGAAGCGGGGGCTGACGCATGGGTGACGACGTCACGCGCCGTCCTTCCGGCGATGGGTGGTCCGGCTCCGGGAGGGAGGCGGGGCGGGGGCGGGGCCTGGGGCTGGAGGCGTCTCCGGTGGGTAGGTGGGTTCAGAGCGAGGGGACTACGGGTCGGCGTTGGGCTCACTGTGCTCGAAACAAAGGAGTCTCCGGTGGGGGACGGGGCGCCGCACCTTCTGACGGGTAACGGGGCTGCGGGTCGGCCGGCGCTGTCGCCGCCGCGCGGTCTCGCTCGGCTTCTCCTTGGTGCCGGACAGCCCGTACCGCGTTGTGTGGGCTGGGGGGGCCGGCGCAGCGGCACCTGCTGCTGAGGGAACCCCACGACCCGTCCAGGTGCTCATGATGGGGCTCATCTTCGCTAAGCTGTGGAGCCTCTTCTGTAACCAAGGTGAGAAGGATGGAGGCGCGCCCGGCTTCGAATCCGAGGCGGCCGAGTGCACTTGCCCTACCTAGGTAGGGCACGGCGGGCGGAGACGGGGTTCCTGGGTGAGGAGAAGCGGGCTGGGACCCCGAGAAGAAGGGGCTGACTTAGTGGCCGGGGTGGGCAGAAGCTCGGTTTTAGAGACCGTGGGATCTTGCAGAAGAGTCAGGATCTGTGTGGAGAAGGGGAATTGAGAGAAGACGCTTTGGGCGACTCGAAATCCAAACTGGGAATTTGGAACGGTCGCGAGGCGCAGCGGAAAACCCCTGAAGTTGCCTGGAGGCATGTTGAGGGCCCTTTCTGTCTTCGGTTCTCGCCTCCTTGTTTGGGTACCTCGGGAGAAGTGTCCGACCGGGAACCTAAAACTTTTCTCTCTTGACTAGTATTGTTTTGTTGTTCGCCTTGCCCTCCCAGCCGGTGCGTCCTCATGTTCCCCGTAATTTTGCCTGCTTTCCAAGAACTAGAGAGTGAGTTGTTCAGTTCCGATACGGGGTGTCTGGAGGTCTGCATCCTACGCCCTTTCCTTTCTTGGGTGTTTGAAAAAAAAAAAAAAAACTTAATGCTTTCGATTGTGAGAAGCTACGCGTCCACCGTTGATGGTGAATAGGCTATGAGACACACTCCAAGCTGCAAGTCCGAAGGGCCGAAAAGTTGTTAAACCTGTTCTGAGTCAGAAGGAGATGCGGTGCCTTTTGAAGACAGAAAATTCTGTGCCAAAAAGGGGCGGACACTAAAGTTGGAGGTTTTTTTTTTTTTAAGATAAAATGATCTTTTCTTAATGGAACCCAGTTTCAAAATTGATAAAGCTTTGCTTTGCATTTTGCCCTGGAGTGATTTATAAGCCTGGTGTATCTTTAGAATGGCTGTAATTCATTTGTCCTGTGGATAACAACTCTTAAAAATTTGTGTTTTGTAAATAAGGATGCATGCTCACACTTACACATCTATGTGCAAATGCAGGTATGCAGTTACCGCAAATAAGTATCCGTTTTTAGATGGTTTAAGTGTGAGTCTGAGTTTACTATGTCGTTTCTTCCAGTTTATGTTTCCTAATGTTATGGGAGTTGATAATGTAAAGCCGCATTTTAAAACGTGAACTTTAAAACAGTAATTTATTCCTTGTTCCTTGGAATTTAAGACGTATTGCTAATGTAGTTGGCTTTCCCTATCTACTCCTCCCCTTCCTCCTTTTCCCTTTTCTGTTTTATATTCTGGCTCTTTGTCTTTTGTCATTTATGTTTTCCCTGATTAAAAAAGAAATTTAATGTATGAGAAGGGAAATTTTTTGAGATTATCAAAGACTCGTGGGCTGCTTTTACCACTTTGTTGTTCCGACCTCCTAAAGCTCTGTTCCTACTTAGAATTTTCTTTCCCTTTTACTTTCATGATGAGCAATTATAAATAGTGATTGTGGTATCATGTTATTCTCATTGACTCATGCAGCATTTACTCATAGAACACAAAAAATTAAAAACAAAAAAGATGCATGCCTCCCTTGCTCTGGAAGTATTCAGAGATTACTCATCTAGACACACGTTGAAACTTAATGATGTAGTAAATCAGTGAATGGATTTATGTAAAACCGATCGTACCAACAAGAAGGGAGGCAATGACTGTTCTGCAGGTGGTTCCAGGAGAAACTGTTAGGGTAGGGTGGTCTTGGATGTTAGTGAGCAATTGGAGTGTATCCAGGCGTATAAAGAGTTTAGGTACAAAGTACATGCTCTCTAGGCGGAGAACTGGCAAGCGAAGGAATGAACTTGGCACAGGTGAGCTGTCTGACTTAGTTGCACAGTGGCTTAGTTGGCTTGTTTCTCGATTGGAGAGGTAGCCGGCAGAACCAGATCTCAGAGGGCTTGAGATGGCAACTGCGACGTCCGCTGTGCAGAGCAAGCAGGCTTTCAACAGTACTTTTCAGGGGTTTTTTTTTTAAACGAGGGGAATAATGTGATCAAATTCATATCTTAATATGTATTTTTCTTTTCTGTATCGAACACAACTATCAATATATTTCCATTTTTACCATTATATACATCTAATCCAGAATTGCCCAACTTTGGTTGCCAGTTAAAATAATCTGTTGGGAAGGCTGCACTTAACTCTAGTCAAATCAGAATAAGTGCAGAATTGATTAAAATGTACAACTAGTGTTAAGAACTATACTTTTATTTTTGTTTGAGGGTACTGTTAAGAACCATTGGTTTTTAAGAATTTTCTTAAAGATTTATTTAGTTTTCATTTGAAAGGCAGATTTTGCAAAGAGAAAGAAAGATTATCCATCTGCTGGTTCACTCCCCAGATGGCTGCAATGGCCAGAGCTGAGTTGATCTGAAGCCAGGAGTTAGGACATTTTTTCTAGGTCTCCCACAATGGTGCAGGGTCCCAAGGACTTGGGCCATCCTTGGCTGCTGCCTTCCTCAGGTCAAAAGCAGGTAGTTGGATCAGAGGTGGAACAGCTGGGACTCAACCAACTCTCAATTGGATGCTGGTGCCCCAGGGCCTGTTATGCTACCATACTGGCCCCAAGATTTATATTTTTGTTTATCTGAAAGGTAGAGCTACAAAGAGAAAAGACAGAAAGAGAGACAGATCTTCCATTCATTGGTTCATTCCCCAAATGACCACAGTGGCCAAGCTGAAACCAGGAACTTGTTCCATGTCTTCCACATGGGTGCAGGGACCCAAACCATTGGGCCATCTCCTACTTGTTTCCCAGGCACATTAGCAGAAAGCTGGATCAGAAGTGGAGCCGCTAGGACTGAGTTGAGCCCATGTGGAATTCCAGTGGCTTAGGTGGAGGCTGGGCATGCTGTGCCACGATGCTGGCACAGAAGCTATTGATGTTTATGTGCTTACTTGCCTTATTTTATTTAAAAATTTTCTTACTCCTATTACATTTTTTGTTTTTATTAGTGTTTTTATATTTCAGGCATTTTCTCAGAAACTGGAGACCTTTCTTGGAATAAGCATATGGGAGGAATCTAAGTTCACCCATTAGGTTGTGCATTCTTTTTTTTTTAATTATTATTTTTTGAATACATTGCCATTATCTTTCTCTCTTGTGTTCTGACTATATGTGCTGGGCTTCAATTATTTCTTATATTATGAAGAATTAAGGACAATCAAAGGAGGCTTTAATTATAGTTCATTTTCAGAATCAACTACACATCTTAATTATCTAATTATTTCCTTTTCATTGGTGAATCTTGTGTTATAATTTTGAATACTTATCCATAGTCCGACTTTGTTTTCAGGTACATCAAACTTCTCTTCTCTCTGCTGCCAGTGGTTTGAAAGCTTCAAATGATTAATTCATTCAGATTTCCAATAAATGTCATCCCTCAGGGAAGACTTCCCCAACCACTCATCAGAAACAGCACTCTCTGACCCCAGTTCTGCTTCTTTGCATCTCTACCCTGCTGTTTTTCTGAATCCTGTTTATATTGTACCACCTGTTAATGTTACTGCAGTTTTGTTTGCTTTTTGTGTCTGTTTCTTTCTATGGAAATAAAGTGTTATGCATGAACTTTGTTTCATTTCCCCTTGCATTGCCAGTGCCTGGCACTTGGTAGATGCTAAATCACTGTAACACATGCGCATAGTTTTTATTTGAAGAAGTTAAATACTGAAATGTCTTAGAGTGATATGTATCATCAGACCTGTTTAAACACTTTTTTTCTAGAGTTATGTAATTCTATGTTACTGAATAATATGTTTACATGGGAATTTCAAACATCGTGATGAAAGACATTCCTGTTTTATGGACAAGCACTTGGGCCAATTTCCATTGGGTTCCCAGGCCATTAGAAGGGAACATCATGGATTGAAAGTGGAGCAGCCAAGGCAGGAAGCAAGGCTCAAATGGGAGGCCTTTTGGGATGCCAGAGTAGCACCTTTACCTGCTATGCCACGGCCCAGCCCTTATATAGTTCTTTTTTTTTTTTTTTTTTTTTTTTTTTAATAAATTTTATTTTGACATTCTTTACATAGTTAATTAGGGTAAGAAGGTTCAAGGGCTACAGGAAAGTGGATAATACTAATATGTTTTCCATATTGTTACCTTCATGTTTAAAAGGGGGGTTTTAAGGGAGAAGGCCCACCCAATTTCCCACCCTCCCCAAGTCCCGGGTGTAGGGCATGCTCTGAGGTCCTTGCTCAAGTGGTTTTGATATTGCAACAGTTATGAATCGCTGTCAATCTTGCCGCTCCAAGCACTATGAGGTCTTTGAAAAATCCACTGAGTGACATAGTCCATCATAGCTTAGATGGTTGGTTGACCCGGTCTGTCTTCGCTCTTTTCTTTGTTATGGTTCTGAGTCCAGCATTTAGATTAGGAAGATCTCCAAAGAAACTTCTTGTATGTGCTAACAAGTACAGGGCCTGGCACCGTCCATCGCTCCAATCAGCTGGTGGTTGCAATTCCTGGGTTGGTTCTGTGTTCACTCCCGTCTTCCACTGGAGCCAATGGGTGTTGCAGTCCAGTCTGGTTCTGCCCAGCACATACTTGGCCCTCACATAAACCAGCGGGAGCTGTAGCCTAGGTTGGAGCGACCCACAATAACCCCAACCAGGCCCACCCCCTACCCTGGTTTGCCAGTAAGTGTAGCAGTAATCCAGTCTGTCCCACATCCCATTCCACCCCAGCCGCTGTCTTAGTTTTATGTCCTCCCGTGGAAGTGGTAACCCAAGAGGGATGAGCCCACTATTTCCCTCCCAGGCCTCTCCCACTCCCAGATTCCAGTTGATGCTGCCCAAACAAACCTCGCCCACTTTAATTTTGTTTGCACCAGTAGGAATAATCCGCCCAGCCTGGCTTTTCCCTGATCTAGTCCACATGAGGCGCACAGGTGTGGTAGCTCTGCCTAGTCTGGTCTGCCCCCATCCCAGCCCATGCTCTCCTGCGGAAGTAGCTGTCCAGCAAAGGAACCCTCCCTTATTCCCCTGCCAGCTCTGCCCACTTCCTTTCT